GCATCGGCGCCATACTGTATGAGCTGGTGGGTGGTGGTGGGCCGGGCTGGGGGTGGTGGTGGGCCGGGCTGGGGGGTGGCTTTTGCCGGGCTGGGGCACCTGCTGGAGCTTCCTGCGGGGAGCCTCCCGCTGGAGCTTCGGGAGGCACGGAACAAAGGGGACTGAGTGGCAGAGGCTGGGGGCAGGCACGCCGTGCCAGGCCGGGGTTTTGGAAGCTGGGCGCCCCATGCCCAGGCTCGTCCAGCCGCGCTCGCCCTCGCTGAGTGCCCGCCCGGCCTGCCATGCCCCGGCCCCCGCAGGTGGTGGGGCGCCCGCCCTTCACCGGCGCCAACCAGTTCCAGCTGCTGCGCAACATCGAGCGCAGCGACGCGCGGGTGCCCGAGGCCATCGCCGCCCAGCTGTCGCCACCCTGTCGCCACCTCATCCACTGCCTGCTGCGCCGCAACCCTGTGGAACGGCTGTCTTTTGAGGAGTTCTTCAGGCACCCGTTTGTGGCCACCCCGGAAGACATGGCCGCGCCGCTGCCGTCGCGCGCGCCCTTTGCCAGCGGCGCCGCGGCGGGCGGCGCGGGCGCGGCGGCCGGCTCGCTGGCGGGGCCCGGCAGCGGGCCCGCGCGCCACGCGCTGCCGCCGCACACGCTGCTGTTTGGTACCAGCGCGCCGCCGGCGGCCTCGCCTGCCATCGCCAAGTCCCGCTCAGCCAACAGTATCCCGCAGCAGGTGCTGGGCTTCCAGCAGCAGCAGCAGACCGGCGGCGGCGGCGGCGGCAGCCGCGCTGCGGGCGCGCCCGCTGCCAGCTCGCCCGCCGCCGCCGCCGTGCCGCTGGGCGGGCTGTCGCACCAGCTCAAGCCGCGGCACTCTCTGGACCTCGACGGCCCCACCCCCGCCCAGCCACGGCAGCCGCAGCCGCAGCGGCCGCAGCCGGTGCCGGGGCGCCGGCTGGGCAGCATCCAGCGCGTGCAGGGCTTCCAGCCCGCGCCGCTGCCGGGGCAGCAGCAGCAGCAGCAGCAGCAGACGCCTTTTGGGGCGGCCCCAACGGCGGCAGCGGCGCTGGCGCAGCAGCAGCAGCAGCAGCAGGGCCAGCCCGGCAGCGCATCGGCAGGACGGCCCGCCAGCGGCCGGCCGGCGTCGCGGGCGCAGCAGGGTGCTGCGGCCGCCGCCGGGGCGGTGCAGCCGCCCCTGGCTGCCGGCTCCCTTCACAGCGAGGATGATGACTATGTGCTGGTAGATGCGGTGCTGTCAGCCCACACAGGTAGGCGGGACAAGGGCTGGGGTGGGCGGGTGGCCTGCGCGTGCCGCTAGCAGGCGGCACCGCTGGCAGGCAGGCGGTACCGCTGCTGCCCCTGCGCTCGGCAGCCCCCGACCGCTGCTGCCCTGCCTCCTCACCCTGCGCCTGCAGCCGCGGCCAGGAGCGCCACGCCCGGCACGCCGCCCGCCTCCCGCAGCGGCTCCGCCCAGGGCAGCCTGTCCCACAGCCGGCACACGCACACCTATTCCAGTACGGAAGGCAAGCGCAGCGGGCCCCGCCTCGCCCTCCTGCCAGGCCCCACGCCTCGCTGGCGGGCCCTGCGGCGCTGCCGGGCTCGTTTCGTGGAGCTGCGAGCAGTGCCTCGGCACCTCACTGCGCCCTGCTGCCTGCCTGCCTGCCTGCCCTGCCTGCCCTGCCTGCCCTGCCTGCAGAGGACATCTTTGCTGCGCAGCCCGGGGACGCCGCCGCCGCGGCCGCCGCCGCTGCGGCCTCGCCCTCCTGGCTGGGCACCAGCCGCTGGCGCTTCCTGCAGCGCGTTGCCCGCATCCTGCAGGCGGCGGCGGCGGCGCGGCAGGCGGCCGCGGAGCCCGCCGGCATGTCGCTGGCGGCGGCGGCGGCGGCGGCCAGCCTGTCGCCCCAATCCCACCAGCTGCTGCGGGAGTGCCTGTCGCTGCACCTGGCGGCGCTGCAGCTGCTGGAACATGCCATGGAGGCGCACGCGGCAGCAGCAGCTGCTGCCGCCGCCGCGGCGGCCACGCCAGGCTTGCCGGCAGCGGGCGAGGAGCGGCGGAGCGGCGAGGCCGCGCGGGACGCGGACGGCGGCGGCGGCGGGGCGGGGGCGGCAGCCGAGGAGGAGGAGGAGGGGCTCGCGGAGGCGGCCGGGCAGCTGGAGCAGGAGGCGCTGGCCGGCATGGCGGCGGCCGAGGCAGCTGCGGCGGCGCTGGACAAGGCGGGGCGCCAGCCCTCGCCCACCGCCGTCACCCCCGCGGCCGCGGCGCTGGCGGAGGCCGACGCCGCGCTGCCAGACCCCTGGGACCTGCTGTATGCCGCGGCGCTGGGGTGGGGGCGGGACGCCGCCGTGGACGAGCTGCTGGGCAGCCAGCAGCGCAGCTGCCGCCTGTACGCGCGCGCCGGTACCGTGCTCAGGTGAGCGCATCGCCGCGCTTCTCGCATGCGGGTGCGCAGAAGGCAGCGGGCTGGGTGGCACATGGGACAGGTGCTTGTTTCGGGCCGGCTTCAAGGGCAGGCGGGTGCATCCCAGGGCGACAGCAACCGACGGCCGCACGCGTCCACCCAGACACACAGCCGTGTACGCCCCCACCTCCCCCCCCGCCCCTGCAGCTTCCTGTGCACCGAGGCGGCGGGGTTGGAGCTGGAGCCGGCCGTGGAGCTGGCGCCAGCGGACCGGGCGCGCCTGCAGAAGTACGCAGCCGCCACCGCCGTGCGCTGGGCCGCCTGCGCCGCGGCCGCGGCCGCCGCCGCCCCCGCCAGCGCGCAGTAGGCGGGCGGGCGGAGGCATGCGCTTTTTGCCAACCCCTGGCTTCTCCGTTCATTGGGCTTCTCCCTTCATTATTTCATTTCATTGCCATCCTTTCCATCTTCCTGCATTTTTTGGGGCCGCCCAGCGCTGACCCTCCCTCCTTCCCACTCAGGCCCATCAAACCATGCCACGGGTTGCATGCTGCGGCAGCATTGTGTTGCACCCAAGCACCGACCGTTCGCCCTGACACGGCCCAAATGCCTGCCTGTGAACCCTGCCCTACACCCCATGCGCAGCCCAGTATATGCAAGTGTTCTGTTGGTCTGCTTGTCACTGTACCACCCCTGTACTGCCCTGCCCAGCAGCGTCCCTGCTGGCCCGGGTTTGTGTGCCAACCCGTCCCCTGTGCATGCCGTGCCGTGTACACTCCTGTTGAGGGCTCATTGTATGGTGCTTGACCTCCACTGTAAGCAAGGCACCCCACTCATTTGCTGCAAAGGTGCAAAAAACACATGGGTTCAAGGCGCTCTGCAGCGCGCCTCTTGTCGCTGTCGCTGCCGTAGTAGTGCCACTACTACAGCCAGTCGCTGTCGCTGTCGCTGTCAGTGCTGTCGCTGGGTGCGCCCCTGGTGCGTGGGGTGGAGCCCAGCCAGTGCGGTTCCCTCAGCTCCCCCGCGCCGTGCGCAAACCAGCACCTGTCCCCGCGGTGGCAATCGGGGTGGTACATGCAGAGCTTGGTCTTGTAGACGGGGCGCACGTGATGGGGCACCCAGGGCGGCACGGCGCTGGCATCGGGCGGTGGAGCTGGAGGGGCGGGCGCCGGCTCAGGCTCGGGCTCCGCTTCCGCCTCGTCTCGCACAGGCGTGGTGTCAAACAGCTCGCAGCGGCCTGCACCAGTTGTCCAGCCCAATCGGCGGGGCGCGGTTGGAAGTTGGAAGACAACACAAACCACCAGGACATTGCGAGGCACAGCATGCGCGCGGAAGCGTGCCGGCAGCCGGCAGTGCCCAGCTGCAGCAGGCTCACATGTCTGCCGGCTGCGCTCCCCGGGCACCTTCTGCCAGGGCTTGCCGCACGAGTAGCAGAACTCGTAGCCGCACTTGCAGGTGATGTGGCGGCACCCCTCCCCCAGTTCAATCATGTGCTTGCACTTGCCGCACTGCTGCCACCGCCTGCGCTGCGCCACCGACAGAAGTGCCAGATCCTCTGGCTGGCGCAGGTGGCAGGGCAGCTCCTGCAGGGGACGGCCAGGGGGGGTGGGCGGTTTGGCGACCGGCAACGCTGAGTTGCAAGGCCAGCTGAGGGCGACGAGTGGCGAGCGAGCTATGCAGCTGCGTGCGGCCCAGCTGGCGAACAGGCGCACCCGGTACTCCTGGCAGGAGAAGCCCTTGTGCCACACGGTGCGGCACCAGGCGCAGGTCTTGGTGGAGCAGGCGGGGCAGGAGATGGGGCTATCGGGAGCGGGGTCGCTCTCCAGGTGGAGAGGGGTGGAGCAGTGGGGGCTGGGGCAGTAGAAGCGGTGGTGGTCAGGGATGCTGGCCTCCGCCTCCACCTGCACCGCACCGCACGGCATGAGGCTCAGCCCTGCCAGCGCAGGGCAGAGGCGGCCGTGATGAGCGCTGGTGGTGGCAGCAGTCGCAAGCGCGCACCCCCAGGCACACAGTGCTGCTGCGCCTGCCCCTTGTCGTCTCACCTGCTTGTACATGGCCACATCCACGGCGGAGGCGGCCAGCAGCAGCTCGCACTCTGGGGAGGAGATGGCGGCGCCGCAGGCCACCTGTGGGCACGGCACGGGATGCGCCCTGCTCCTGATCACCGTCTGCGCGTGGCGGCGCAGGCAGTCCCGGCAGAAGCGGTGCAGGCAGGTGCCTGCATTGCACAGGGGCGTGGCGTCGAGGTGGCCAGGAAGGCAGCCCAGCCCCGCTGCGCTGCAGCAGGCCAGCTCTTGAGGCTTCAAGGATCACCAAGAGCTGACCTATGACGTAGAACTGAGCGGAGGGGACGTCTTGCAGGCAGATGCCGCAGGTGTCATTGGCGGTGAGGGGCTGGTCTGCTGGGCCCTGCGGTGGGCAAGCGCCAGAGCAGGGGCCGGGAGGAGTGTGGCGGTACGTATGTTCACAGCAGGACAGGCAAGCTGCAGGCGGGGCCTTGCACACCCTTGTGCGCAACCTCCACACCATGTATGCACCTTCCACCCACCTTCACTTGGCTGATGGTGGCCCTCTTTTCTTCGCCTGCACCGGCGGTTGCACCAGACAAAGACGGGCTGGGCCACAATGCGGTGCGAGCCAGCTGGGCAGCCTCTGCCGTGAGTGCTGGCTCCACCCGTCTGGCAATCCATCCTGGGAAGCTGCTCAGCAGCCGCTGTGCCTCTTCAACCAGAGGGCCAATGCTGCTGCTGTGAGCAGCGCCCTCCCCCTCCTGAAGCTGCAGCACCGGGGGCCAAGGGCGCGGTCGCATGCCATTCAGATAGCGGCTGGTAGCAGCCCATGTGCCAAGGAGCACTGCTGCCCAAAGGGCATGATGCAATGGCGGTTGAGGATGCACGCACCTTGCTGAGAGCAGAGGCCGAGGAGCACTGGAGCAGCACCCTGCCGCCCAGGCCGAGGTCGGCAGCGACCCGCAGCCCAAGCGTGGCAGCAAACAGCTGGGCGCGCAGCAGTGAGGCAGACTCCAGCGCCCCACTCCCTTTCCACAGCACATCTCCTGCAGCGGCAGGCGGGGGAGAAAGGTGCAAGCAACCCGGGCCCGTTGCTTCGATATGCTGCCTGATTGGTCCCCAAGGGTGGGTGCTAAGTTCAGGGTCAGACTGTGCACCCCACAGCTGCCGCACCTGCCGGCGAGGTGAGGACCGCTCCACACCCTGCTGCGCCTGGGTCGCCAGCCTCCATCTCCGCCTCAAAGGTCAAGGTGAGCTTGATGCACTCCTCGCTGGCGCCAGCTGACAGCGACTGCCCCAGCGCCTCCACGGCAGCACTGCTGGGCCCCTCATCCTCTCGGTCGCCGATGCATGCGGCCAGGCGGTGGTCTTGGGCCTGCTGCGAGGCCTCGGTGAGCAGCTGCCTCTGCAGGTCGCGGGCCAGCTGCGCATCTGTCAGCTGCTGCAGCTGCTCGGTAAGCTGCAAGACCTGCAGGCACTGCCGGGCGTGCCGATGGCGGCGGTGACGGGGCGACGGCGGAACCCAAGCGTACGCGTGCCCACGAGTTCCTCTTGCGCACTGCCAGTGACGGCATTGTCGACAGAAGGTCAGCAGGGGCAGCAAATGGGCTGGTAGGGTTCGATGGTGCTGATCGTGCGATGGAAACTCACCTGCGCCTCAATCGCCAGCTTCAGCTCCTCTAGCGAGTCTTCCCCAGCAGATGAGCCTACAGACGAGTCGGAGGACGCGTCCTGAAAGAACTCCTGCCTCTGTAAAGAGACCGCCAGCTCCAGCCCCTGCAGAGACTCCTGCGCCTCGTTCAGGGCAACCTGCACAGCTGCAAGGTCATCCGAGACGTCCACCATGATGCTCGGAGTGTGAGAAGTGAACTGCGAGAGAATTGAGATCATGAACACCCTCAACGTGTTGACTGTGTTGGCATTTGGAAAGCGCAGAGGACTAATGCAATTTGCAATCATCTGCGATGCAACATTTGCTACCAGCTGAGACGGTTGCCTCTGCTGCTGTTTAAGAAGTAGGGGCAGTGTCAAGCGTTGCATGATCAAAATAGGTGGATGCGAATGCTGTCAAGTGCCGAGCGCTGTGGTGTCACAGCTGGCGCGTCCCCACCCCCACGCCCTGCTCCTGCGGCTTGGCAAACTCCAGCTTGTCCACCTTCACCTGCCCCTCCACCAGCTCATACACATACACAGTGGCCTGCAGGGGGTGGGCGCCACGGTGGTCAGCCCCCTGAAGCAGTTGCCGCGGGGAGCTTGGCCTGTCGAGTGCTCGCCGTGCGGCGCACCTGCACCCTCCTCCCGCCACAGCAGAGCCCCACCGCACACCCCGCTGCGCCCTCCCCTCACCTTGCCGCCATCCACGTCCATGAGGGCGAAGCTGGGCGTGGGGTGCGGCGTGACGGCGCTGTAGGCGCCGGTGGCTGACCCCGTGCTGATCACCAGCCGCCCCTCGTGCCGATACGCCTCAAACCGCTGCAGGCAGGCGGGCAGGGGGCAGGCAGGGGGCAGGCCGGGTGAGCAGGGGCCACGCCGCAATGACTGCAGCAACCACTGGGCCGGCTGCTCGGCCCAGCCGAGGCGGCCACGCGAGGTGAGGCGGCGCAGCAGGCCCCGCCCCGCCTCCCGCTCCCGGACCCCGCCCCGAGGCCCTCACGTGTGTGTGCCCCGTGACCAGGATGTCGCAGTCCAGCTTGCGCTGCAGCACGGCCAACGCCTCGCGGTCGCCCCAGGGCACCACCTGGTGGCCGTGGCACACGCCGATGCGGAAGTCGCCGATGCTGACCATCTGGCGGGGGCCGGAGGTGTGTGTTGTTGTTGGGGGGGCAGCAGCAGCGTGGGAGCGGGCAGGCAGGTGAGGGGGAACGAAAAGGGTGACAGAACAAGGGCGCGCGGGTATGTGTGCATGGACACGTGGGCGGGCGGGCGAGCACAGCTCGGTTTTCGTCCAGGAGCCCGGCCCCGCCGCTCCCGCACACCCCCCACACACAGGACCACACCCACCCCACCCCCCCCACCCACCTGCGGGTCGGGCACTTGGGTGCTTTCTCAAAATCCCCCTGCGTGACCGTCCCCTCTGAACCCACCCAAACCCAGGTATTCGTAGGCGGTTTCGGGGAGAAGGGGGGCGGCAGTTGAAGGTGGGCCAGGCAAAAGGCCCTTCCCCGGGGCGGGCATGAAGCCCGGCTGCCGGCAGAAGGCAGCCAGCCACCATGTGCCTGCTTCCCTTGGCAGCTGCGCGGGGCCCCGCTGGCCTTGGCGGCCGCCGCACCTCGGTGCACAGGTTGCCGGGGCAGAGGATGTGGGATACCTTGCCGGGCCCCAGCAGGCTCTTGAACTTGGGCGGCAGGTCGGCGGCGCGGTGCGGCAGGTGCAGGTGGCCAATGCACAGCACCAGCACCATGGCGCGCCCTCTTGCGGCTGCTGCCGATGCCGCTGCCGATGCTGCTGGCTGGCTGGATGCGGCTGCGGTGTACTGTGCTGTGCTGTGCTGCAGCAATGCACAGCTACCTGCAAGCTGCAGGGGGAGGGGTCCAGGCGGAAACGGCAGTGGCGAGCACGCAGCGGCGGTGGCGCCGGGGCGGCAGCGGCAGGGTCTGGAGCGGCAGAGCGAGTGCAGCGGCAACTCGCAGTGGGGATCGCTGACTCGAGCGCTGCTTCACGCACCAGGCCAGTAACTGCTGCACGCGCTAGAGTGGGGATGGCGAGAGCGGCCCACTCTTGAGGCCGCGATCGCGTTCAAAGGGTCGCCTGCTGGCTTACTATCGTTGTATGTGGCGTGCTAAGACGTGCCTCCTCCACAGCGCCTGCGCCTGAGAGTCTTGCGCCGTACTCCGGCAATACGTCCGCCTCCGACAGAAGGGACTTCAAGTAGGCTGCTTCACACTCATGGCATGCTAGCTGTCTCTGTCTGCATGGTGTGATGCTATTGGGAGGGGGGCAGTACCCAATCCCTGTCTGTATGGGCAGCCCTCGACAGCCGCCGCAGTCGCCGCAGGCTCGAGTGCCTGCCGCCTCATCATTTGCATGTCACACACATGGCGCTATGACGCTACAACGCAAATCAAGTAAGAAAGAGGGGAGTCAATAATATTGACGGGAGGCCTGCTTGCCGCTAAAGGTGCAGACGCTGCGGTAAGGCACGCTACATGGGTGGGTCGTTTGGGTAGGGGGGTGGTTGTGGAGGTGCTGAGAATGAACGCTAGGGCAATGCAGGCTGAATGCAGGAGAATAAACGAGCAGAAGGGACGCAGCGGTAATGGTACACAGACTGATGAATGGCACCAGGAGGGACGCGATTCGAAATGAACACACTAGGCATTAAACACAGCAGTGGAGACCGGGCAAGCAGCACAGGGCAGCTGCAGGTGAGTGATTGGTTCTTGGGGACTCGCTACTAACTAGGAGGCACACAGCGGCGCGAGAGAGAGCCAGTTGGGAAGGAGAAAGAGATGCAACTGGGCAGGAAGAGGGGCACAGCGGGCACCAGCCCAGCTGCCCCTCACCAGAGCGGCGCAGTGGCCGCCGCCAGCATGGCCAGGCTCACCGCCAGTGCGGCGGGCGCCTGGGCGGCGGGCGGCAGGCAGGCGGCCCCCAGGCTCCTGGCCATGGCAACCACCTGCTCACACAGCACCCACGCGGCCGCCGCTGGCAGGGAGGGGCGGGAGGTGATGCAGGTGACGTTCGGGGCCCCCACCTCGCTGATGTGGCTCCAGCGCTGCAGCAGGCCGGGCAGGGCGCCCGCCGCGGGCTGCCCCCGCCCCACACCCACCTCCGGCGCCGGGGGCAGTGCAGGAGCAGAGGAGGAGGAGGGGGAGGGGGCCGCGGCTGCCGCAGCCGCCCGTTCCGGCGCCGGCGCCAGGCTGGCGGTCGTGCTTGCCACGGTGCCAGCTGCCGGCGCGCGCCGGCCGGGGCGCAGCAGGCGCCTCTGCCGCTGCAGCTGCCTGCCCTCCTCCTGAAGCAGGCGCTCCATCTCTGCCAGCCGCGCGGCCCGCTGCGCCAGCAGCGACGCCTCCTCCGCAGCCGCCGCAATCTCCGGGGCGGCGCCCCTCGGCGGCGGCTGCTGCTGCCGCGGCCGCTGCGCGCGCTGGCTGGCGGGCGCGGGGCCGGCCAGCGACAGCAGGCGGTCAAAGTCGGCGGCCAGCCCCGCAGCCTGCTGCGCCAGCTTGGTCGCCTCCCGCACCTCAGCCGCAACAGCCTGCCGCACGGGCCGCGAGCGCTGCATCAGGCCGGTGGCGGTGCTGGTGGTGGCGTCACGCACGCTGGCGAGCACGGCGTCGATGCTGCCGGCGCCGCCAGGCATGCGGCGCAGCTGGCGGCGCAGCCCTGCGGCGGCCTCGGCGGGCAGTGCCGCGCCCAGCTGGCGGCGGGCCAGGTCGAAGGCGGTGGGCTGCGGCCTGAGGATGCCCGCGATGCCGCCGCCGGCCTCGTGCTGGCCGCCGTCGCCGCTCCTGAAGCTGTACACCACAGCGCCGTCGCTGCCTGCCGTCACCTGGGCGCCTGTGGCTTCGGCCAGCGCCGCCGCCTCGCGGGTCAGGCCCAGGTGCCACTCCCGCTGCTGGCGCGTGCCCCGCAGCGTGCGCGCCATCACCTCACGCGCCTTGCCCGCGCTGCAGGCGTGGCGGGGCGTGTGGAGGGAGCGGTGGGGTGGGGACGGCGGCGTTGCGAAACTGCCGACACCTCAGGCACAAGGAAGACTGGCAGCAAACAATCAAGCAAGCACGAGGAGCACCTGTTCTGCAGCTCCTGCTCCAGGCCGGCCAGGTGGGCGGCCAGCTGGCGGCCCAGCACATCGAGCGACCGCTGCGGCGCCGGCGGTGCAGCCCACCCGTCAACCTGCAGGGTGACGCGGTTGGGGGACAGGGGTGGATATCAGCATAGCTGCCCATATGCGCGCCTGCCCCTCCACCTGCCCGAAATGCTGCCAGTACGGCGAGCGCAGCCGTGGGCCGCCCCGCCGTGCACCAGCACACCTGCTGCACTGCTCGGACGCCGACCGGGCCCTGGACGGCGGCCATCCTGCGGCGTTTGGGGCATGGAGCGAACCCTGCAACAGGGGAAGCTGTGAGCGCTCAGAAGTGGTTCAGAAACCCCACCTGAGCCGCACTTGCGAAAGGCGCAAGTGTTATCGATTGTCTCACGCACCGGCGCAAGTCGCCTTTCTGCAGCGAGAGGAGGTCTGCAGCGGGGTGCAGACCCCGCCGGCAAGGGCAGCGAGGGTGGTCATTTTTGCGGGCTCCACCTGGGGCCTCCTCCGCGATGTTGCAGCGCGGCGCAGCGCAGGAATGCAAGAATGAAGGAATGACTCGGGGTGAGCTGGCGGTGGCGCCGACCGATGCGCCGTCAGCGGTGCAGCACATTTACACAAACATTCAGATCCAATGCGCATGTTCGGGAAAAATGAAAAGAGATTAATTCCTGAGGGTCCGCACGTCAGATATACAGGGGTGCGAAACGGGGTAGCTACAGCTAGTTCAAAACAAAAATGCTCCGAGGCGGCACAGCCGTGCCTCAGCACAGGGTCGGCGCCGGCTGCCACTGGCTCGGCGGGAGTGCCACGCGCTGCAGCACGGGCCGGGGGGCGGTCCCGGCGCCCCTCACCGCCGCATGCGCAGCAGCGCGGTGCTGACCAGCACGCCGCCGGCGGTGAGCAGCGCAACGCGGCGCCAGCGCCAGGCGGGCGGCTGCCGCTCCGCGGGCATGGCCGTGATCTCTGCGATGTTGATCTGCTTGTCCCAGTGGTCGCGGATGCCCTGCAGGTGGCCCGCCCCCACAATGGCCACCACCGTGTGCGCGCGTGGCGCCAGCTTGCGCAGCATGAAGGTCATGAACTGGTCACGCTCCGTCAGCAGCGGCCTGATCAGGCTGGGGAACTCCTGCGCGGCAGCAAGGGGAAGAGGTGGGGGCCACAAACACAGCGTGTGTGAAGGGATGGGTCGTTGCACGCAGGACGAGGACGGAAGGAACGGTGACAGGAGGCGGACGGGAGCGTGCGCCCCACGGGCCTGTGCTGCCCGGGGCCCGAGGCCCCCGCTGCATCCCACGGGCGCACGCGTGCCAACCGCTGGCGTCAGCCAGCGCCACACCCATTCACGCAGCACACGGCACACGCAGCCGCCCCCACCTTCCCAAACTCCTTGATCGCCTCTGTCAGCACGTCGGTCTCCTTCATCTTCTCAATCTCCTGCCGCATCTCCTCCGTGTCCAGCAAGCTGCAGCAGGGGCGCAGCAGCAAGGGCGCACGGCGCGCAAGGGCACGAATGGGGCCCCCACACCGCCACACATGACCACACACACACACACACACACACACACACACACACACACACACACCACGCACAGGCCCCGGCATAGCAAGGAGCCTGCACACAGGCTGGCGGCTAACCATCCCCCCTCCTCACCCCCGGCCCCACCCCCCACCTCAGCCCCGTCCACAGCAGCGTGCCCGTCAGCTTCAGCTTCTCCCACAGGCTCAGCGCGTGCCACACGCGCGCCAGCGTGATGGTGAGCGGGCGGTCCCCCAGCACGACGTGTGCGCCGAGGGCGTGCGCCTCCCGCAGCGCCACCCTGAACTCCTCCCCGGGCATCACATCCAGGTGCTTGCCCACCTTGGCCAGCAGCCTGCGGGCAGGGGGCGGGGGGCGTGCACAGATGAACAGGGCGCTGGTTCGACGGGCATCAAGGCTTGGATCGCGAGCAGCGGGGCCCTGGGCTGCCGCACGGCTGTGGCACAGCCGGCGGTGGGCAAGCCGGGCGGGTCGGCGGCTGCAGGCGCAAGCGGCATGGGGGCCCGAGGCAGGCGGCCCTCACCACGAGTAGATGCCTTGGAAGGGCGAGGCGCGCCCCGCGCGGATCTCTGTCAGCACCTCCGTCAGCGTCGGCTCCCGCAGCTTGTCCGCAGTCAGGATGGGCTTGCGCTCTGCACACAGCTCCACAACCACAACCTGCAGCCGGGAGGCAGCAGCAGGCGCGGTGTGGGCGAGAGGCGATGTGGCGGTGTCGCGCTGTGCATGAGGCGGCATTGCAGGCCGGAGATTGTGACCTCCAACAATGCCGGGTTTGGCAATGGAGCTGTGGAGGCGAGAGAGGGGGGCAGAGGCGGCGACGGGGCAAAGGCGGCGGCGGCGGCGACGGGGAGCGGCGGCGCGCCTGTGGCTTCACAGCCCGAATGAGAGCGGTGACATCCTCGCAGCTTTCACTTGATACGTGAGCGGTGCCTAACACGTAGAACACCGTCTCAGGGCCGCCATACGCTCCCTCTGGCCGGCAGCGCAACACTGCAAGGGGCTGCGGCAGCGTGTTGGGCGCCTGAACTTCAGCATCCTCGGCCTCGGCCATCAGGTTGGAATAAATCAGCAAGGCAAGGGAGGAGCGGCGCTTAGCCAGCTTGCCGGGCTCTCCAATGTGGCGCTGCTGGGTGTGGGGAGCTGTGGAGTGCAATGTTTCTGCTTGCCAGAAGAGGGGGAAGCGCGCAGGAGTGGATTCAGGGCCTCTCATCTTCAAAGGGCAGGGCTGAGGTGGCAATGCGCAGAGGTGCTGCGCAGGTTGTTGCTGGATCATCGCTGGGGGGATCATCAGTTGCTGGTGAGTTGTCATACCGCCTTGAAGGCTGTGACACACCTCTTGGACAGCACACGGCAGCCCTCTCTGTTCCCTGCTCTGAGGGTGCAGCCGAAGTGTTGAGGGAGCACACCATCAATACCAGCTGATCGAGCGCAGCCGATTGCCCATAGCATACCCGCGCAGCTGTCAGCCGCGCGGCGCTGCGGCGGGCGGGCGGCAGCAGGCGGCAGGACGTGGCTGCAGTGCAGGGCTGCTGCATGCCCCTGCCGGCCACCATCCCGCTGCCTGGAGGCCTGCAGCTGCCCACGGTGGGGCTGGGCACCTTCAAGCTGCGGGGGGAGGAGGCCAGCCGCGCCGTCGGCTGCGCGCTGCAGCACGGCTACCGAGCGCTGGACACGGCGAGCATCTACAAGAACGAAGGCGAGGTGGCGGCGGCCGTGCAGGCCAGCGGCGTGCCCAGGAGCGACGTCTTCCTCACCACCAAAGTTTCGCCGCACCAGGCAGGCTGGGCTGGCTGCTGTGCACCCCAACTATGTGCCTGCCCGTCTCCCCAGCGGCACCCGCGCGCCATCCATCTTGTGTAGACCCCCCGCCCGCCTGCCCTGCAGCAAGGCACCGCCAAGGCGGAGGCGGCATGCGAGGCCTCGCTGCGCCTGCTGGGATCCCCCATAGACTTGGTGCTGGTGCACTGGCCCGGCGTGGCCAAGCAGCAGGCGGGTGCAGCGGCCAACGGCGAGCTGCGGCGGCAGACGTGGCGGGTGCTGGAGCGGTACCAGCTCGCCGGCAGCTTCCGGGCCATCGGGGTCAGCAACTACCAGGTGCATCACCTGCGGGAGCTGCTGGAGTACGCGCAGGTCAAGCCAGGTGGGTGGGGCGTGCACGGCGCGAGGTGGGAAGCACAAGCACGGCGGGTGCTTTGGTTGGCGACTGGTGACACAGCAGCAGGGGGACCGGCGTGTCGCTTGCACCGCAGGCGCGCTGGCGGGGTGTCGCCACAAGGCGCTGATGCCTTGCCTGCGCGGGCCCACCCCTGGCCCCGCCGCCTGCTGCAGCGGTGTGCCAAGTGGAGTGCCACCCGCGGTACCAGCAGCGCCAGCTGCGCAGCTTCTGCCAGCTCCACGGCATCGCGCTGCAAGCCTACTCCAGCCTGGGCTGCGGCCAGCTGCTGGGCAACCCCACAGTGCAGTCGGTGGCGGCAGAGGCCGGGGTCACGCCCGCGCAGGCACTGCTGCTGTGGGGCCTGCACCGCGTCTGCGCCGTCATCCCCAAGTCGGCGAGGGAGGGGCGCATCGCGGAGGCGGCGCCGGCCGTGCTGCTGGGCTTGCAGCTAAGCCAGGGGGCGCTGGAGCGGCTGGACGGGCTGGAGGAGCGGCTGGGGAGCTGCAAGTTCTGTTGGGACCCGAGCGGCGTCGCCTAAACCCCGGCCTCCCCCTCCTGCCTCCTCGCTGCGCCCGCCGCTGCCCCTTTTCTGCTGCCACCGCTGCCCCTGCACCTGGCATTTGTTGCATTGATGAGAAGTGTGAATGAAATGCGATGCATGCTGCTGTAGTGTGATCACTGCTGACTCGGGTGGCAACCACATGGTACCACGGGCATGAAATGTGTGCTGCGCCTTGCAAAGCACACAGCAAGACAGAGAACAAGGGTGTGCACGGGCAGTTAATGTCGTCTGCTTCAAAATCACTCGGGCTCATGGCATTTGCCGTTGGTGAGGAAATAGTCTCTGCATGGCACGGCCAGGGGAGACATTGGGGCACACAGGCAGCGGCAGGGTCGGCAGCAGCGGCTGCATGGCACAGCGACTACCAGCGGCAGCGACACTCACGGCGACGAGCATTGGAGGCAGAAGGATGGGTTGCCCGCCTGGCACACCATGCAGTGGAAGCCGCATCTGACGCAGGCGGTGGGAGCCGTGGCTCTGTCCCACCCATACCCAGCGGCGCAGGACTGGCAGGGGCTGCCCCCCGGGCCGCACGCCCCGCAGTTGGCCAAGGCGCACGGCTGGCAGGCGCCGCTGTTGTCAAAGTAGAAGCCCTCGCGGCAGGCGGCGCAGCGGGTGGGGTCGCCCTCCACGCATTGCGCGCAGTGCGGCAGGTTGCAGGTGGTGGCGCAGTAGCTGTTGTATGGGCTGACCAGGCTGTAGTTCTTGGCGCACACCTCGCACACGTTGGGCCAGGCGCAGCGGTCGCAGTGCGCCTGCGGGCAGTACACGCACTGCTGGCCCTTGGCGTCAGGCGTGTAGAGCGGCCCGCACTCGGAGCACGTCACGCCGGGACCGTCACGCACTCGGGCCCTGAAAACGCCCTTGCCCATCTTGCACTTGGTGCAGCCGGCCGGGCACTGCAGGGTGGGCGGTGGGGGAGGGGGGCCCAGCGCGGGACGGGCCTACAGCCGTGGTGGTACGGGCAGATGCAGGTCAGGCGCTGGAGGGGGCTGCGGGCCTCACCTTTGTGCAGCCCTGCCCAGTGTAGTACCAGCCATCGCTGCAGGCTGTGCACACCAGGGTGCTGTTGCTGCCTGCCTGGCACGCGGTGCAGCCGTCGGGGCAGGGCTTGCAGGAGCCCTGTACCAGGGCTGTTGGCGGCGAGGCCTTGCACTTGTCGCACCGGCTGCTCGCCACGAAGCAGGCCTGCAGCGCCATGCATGGCGGGCATGAGTCCAGCACGCTCAGTCGTGGGCAACCGCATCTGCTGCTCAGAGCCCCTGCGCTGGTTAGCCTGCCAACGCAATGCCATGGCAGCGGCTACGGCCCCCTCACCTCGCAGTTTGGATCCGAGCAGCTGCGCCGTTGCAGGCAGGACAAGCACCAGCGCAAAGTCAGCACACAGGCCGGCCAGCTGGGAATGCAGGTGGGCAGGAGACAGGCAGGGGGCAGGCAGGCAGCCTGAGGCAGGCAGGCAGGCGGGCACGCTCACAAGTTCAACGGGTTCACGCCCGCGCAGCCTGCCAGCTGGGAGATGACAGACGGGTTGTTGAGGGCGTCCTTGATGAGGCCGGGAGCCCAGGAGCTGCATCCATCCACAGCAGCAGGAGCAGCAGCAGGTTGGCAGGCGCGGGGGTTGGCAGCTTGTGTGGGCTTAAAGTCTGGTAAAGCAAGAACTAGCTTGCAACATAGACTCCCCGCCGAAACGGGACGGGAACCGGGCGAAAGCAGAGAAAGCAATAAAACAGGGGTGGAGCAAGGCGACATGCAACGCAAGCAGCTGACAGGGCACGCATCGAAACGTGTGTATGACTGGCAAAGTGGCATGGCGCATTGGGGAGAAACGCAACGGTACGGGAGCATGGGCTGGCCAAACGGCAGTGCGGAACGCTAGGTCACTAGAAAAGCAGGGAAAGGCGCACTATGTATGCAATGAGGGCAGCCCCGGCTCGGGGCCGTTGAGAAAGCAGTGGGCGGGAGGGGGGAGGCCCCGGTGTGGGCGGGCCCCATCGAGGGGGGATGGGGCGCGCAAGCGGCCAGATGGGGCGGGGCGCGGGCGGCAGTGGAGTCCTGCGGCTGGGTGGGATATAGGGCAATGAGCGTTGAGCAGTGTGCGATGAGCAATGAGCAATGAGCAGTGAGCAGCCCCTCCCTAAACAAAGTGAAGCGCAGGACGGGGTCCGGTGGATGGGAGGCAAGGAAACGCGGGGGGTTGCCACGTGCGCTACCGCCGCCGCCGCAGGCAGCACCCCTGCGGCGGCGGCAGCGGCAGCAAGCCGTGGACCCAAACGCCGTGCCGCCGCCGCCGCAGGCAGCACCCCTGCGACGGCGGCGGCAGCAAGCCGTGGACCGAAACTCCGTGCCGCCGAGTCCCGTGGCTGTGGCCGTGGGCTTCTGGCAGGAAACTACGGCCGCAGCTCGGCAGCACGGGGGCGTCGCAGCGTGCCGCCGCCGCCGCCGCGCTGCCCCCCGGGCACGGCGGCGGCGGCAGCAAGCTTGGGCCCAAACGCCGTGCCGCCGAGTCCCGTGGCTGCGACCGTAGACCGTGGGCCGGAAACTGCGGCCGCAGCTCGGCGGCACGTGGTTCTGGTCAAATCGCCAAGCGTGCAGCAGCGCCGAACCACGCTTCCCGGCCTCGGCGCATGCCTTCAGGGGCCCCCTATCGCTGGGCACACCCCTCCAACACCGAACATGCGCCCGGGGGGGAGGGCGGCCCGGGCTGCCCAGGCCAAAGTGGGCCGCCCTCGAGCAAGAGGCGGCCGGGCTGTGTGCTGAATGAATGAATCTCGCCCGCGTGCCCCAGCCTGGCTACTGGGCTCACTTGATGATGGGGTTGAGCATGGACTCCGCGATGAGCTCGATGATCCAATTGGTAAAGAAACCGAAAGGGATGATGCCTCCAATCCATGTGGACACATCCACATCAGTGGACCCCACATTCATCTGGACGGAAGAGAAGCTGGGGATCGAGACGCAGCCCTGGTAGCCAGTCCACACGTCGCCGGCTGCGCGGGGCAGGGGAGGGCACACGCCGGCTGTGAGCGGTGGATCGCCAATCCGGGGAGCGGCGCGGGCGCGGCTGAGCAGGGCAGAGATGGCCAGCCGCGCGGGAGTAGCAGGCGGGCAGGCAGCAGCGCGGCAGGCCGGGCAGGGCTGCCCAGTGCGCTGCGGGCGGGATCTCACTCAGCCCAGCGTTGGCAAGCGCGCCCAGCGACAGGGTGACATCCTTGAGGGTGACCGTGATCGTGGCAGAGGCAGTGACGGATACGGGGATGCTGTACCAGGGCCGGTAGCTGGCGCTGGCGCTGCCCTGCACCGACAGGCTGCCCAGCCCCGCCATCAGCTGCAGGTTGGCCTGCAGCCGCAGCAGGGCAGCAGCAGATCCAGGGGTAAGGGACAGCCCCGAGGGAAAGCTCTCGGCGCACACGCACAAAAAAATGAGGACGCGCCCGCCACCCCGCCCGCCACCCCACCCACCGACACGGCGCTGAGGTTGTTGCAGGTCGGCATGTCGACGATGGCGAGCTGCGGCTCAGGCATTGTGTTGAGGCCCGAGATGCTGTTCAGGGTGATGTCTGCCAGGCCCTGGGCCAGGATGGGGATGTAAGTGGAGAACTCGTCGTGCAGGACGGAGGATGTGTCGATGGTGGCGGGCAGCTTGGCCTGCACCGAGGGCCACACCGCGTCAAGCACGGCTTTGACGATGTTGTTCACCTGCGGGGGAGGGAGGCCCGGGGGGGGACGCCCAGGGGGGGTGGGGGAGGGGGGATGGGTG